CAAATCCAAAACACCCTTTTATGTTACATTTTGATTATGAATTCGGAACTTGTATGGAGTTGGCCAACAAATATAAAATTTTGTGTCCAACCCAATATTTTAACATGGAGTTTTTACAAGAAGCTATGTGTGAATCATTTATTTAAATAAAATAAACAAAAATTAGGTGAAAAAAATAAAGCAAAAAAAAAGGGTGTGGACAAATTTAAAACGCGCGGATTCTGAAAATCCGCGTTTGATATGAATTTTTATTCTTATCCTTCAATATGAAGGTTTTTTATAAATTTTGATTTAACATTTTGAACACGAAATAATATCACTTTAATATCAATTCATTCGTCAAATAATAATCTAGCATGCATACATACACGAAACACTATATACAAAAAGTCAACCACAATTACCGATAAAAAAAAAAAAAGTGAACCACAAAATATGTATACAAAACCATCAAGAATAAATATATGAAAATCCAGTACAAAAAATAAAAGAAAAAAGAAAATGTCCACAAAATCACAGATACAAAACAAACTAACTAACTAGGAGTATATGAATGCTTAGGCCTACGTATTCGGGACACTCTCCGAGGCCGTAGTATCGAAGAAGACGATCCTGCGGTCGTCCAGGCGTGGTTGGTTCTTCTTCTTCTTCACCTAATTAATTAATTTTTGGAAAAAATCAGTAATTCGACCGGATAAATAAAAACAAACAAAAAAAATATATATTTGTAGTTAAATAAATAAATCTCACCTTCTTCGTCTTCTTCATTCCCGGGGAATGCAGCGGCGGGTTCGCGGTCACGACGTCTTCTCCCTCCACCAATGTGGGACGTCGGTCTATGCCTCGCCCGCTGGGACTGTGTCTGCTGGGGTGTGGCGTACTCCTCTTGAGATAAAATTTGTTCCGACGATGCCCCTTGTGTGACCGACTGACCCCCAACAGTCAGTGAAGCGTACAGAAGTTCCTGGGCTTGCTGGAACTGTGTCTGCGCTCGGGAAAGTAGCGTATCAATGTCTTCAATGTTCGATAGCATGTTATACGCCCCCTCCATACACGAATTCTGAAAATAAAATTGAAATAACTATCAAATACTAAAAATAATAATAATAATAATAGTAAAAATCACAAATTAGCAGACACTTACCTGACACTTCTCCCGGTCGGCATATGGCTGAAACCCGGCGTCCTGTGAGATCGCCGCGTAGTTGTTAGGGTCATTGAATAGTCTCACAGTCCTACTGTGATACCAATCAATGTACCCCTCTGCCGGCTGCAGGAAGGGATCCACCGGGACATCTGGGAGGACGTTCTGATCTCAATTGTACAAATTTGACTTCAATTGTACTAATTCGAGTTCGATTTCACAATAATTGACCGAGATTGTACTAATTTGACTTTGATTTTACTAATTCGAGTTCGATTTCAATATAATTGACTTAGATTGTACTAATTCGAGTTCAATTGTACTAATTCGAGTTCGATTTTACTAATTCGAGTTCAATTTCAATATAATTGACTTCAATTGTACTAATTTTACTTCAATTGTACTAATTCGAGTTCAATTTCACTATAATTGATCGAGATTGTACTAATTTGACTTTAATTGTACTAATTTGACTTTGATTTTACTAATTCGAGTTCGATTTCACTATAATTGACCGAGATTGTACTAATTCGAGTTCAATTGTACTAATTCGAGTTCGATTTCACTATAATTGACCGAGATTGTACTAATTTGACTTCAATTGTACTAATTTGACTTTGATTTTACTAATTCGAGTTCGATTTCAATATAATTGACTGACATTGTACTAATTCGAGTTCGATTTTACTAATTCGAGTTCGATTTCACTATAATTGACTGAGATTATACTAATTCGAGTTCAATTGTATTAATTCGAGTTCGATTTTACTAATTCGAGTTCGATTTCACTGTAATTGACTTCAATTGTACTAATTCGAGTTCGATTTCACTATAATTGACCGAGATTGTACTAATTTGATTTCAATTGTACTAATTTGACTTTGATTTTACTAATTCGAGTTCGATTTTACTATAATTGACCGAGATTGTACTAATTTGACTCCAATTGTACTAATTCGAGTTCAATTTCAAAATCATCCAAATACATTATATAAATCATCCAAATACAAAATATTTATCTCAACAATACGATTCAGTCAAAATACATATAAAAAAATCTAGTTCCCCCAATCATCACGGAGTCTAGTTCGATCGGTGGGAGGATGCGAATACGGGCAACGGTCCGCGAAATGTTCGGGATCACCACATCTACTGCATTGATCCCGGACTCTTCTGCGGCGCGCTCGACGATCCATTTGCATTTTAAATCGTCTCGTTTGGGCGCGGCCGGGTCCAGGCTTCGAAATGATCCTTTCCCAATGCGGAATCAAATTCCATCCCACCTGCGGCCACGTGTCAGGATTTCCAATTGGAGCAAAATTCCAATTAGAAAATTGAGCAACCCAGTTCTCCGTCCAAAAGTGGGAATCATACAACAAGTGCGGTTGATCACCCCGGTGACGACACACGGCCAATGCATGAGAGCATGGTTTCCGAAATGTCTGCCACTTCTTACATGTACAACGATGCTGCTGATAATAAACCATAAACCTGTTTTCCACAATGATTTATATATATAAATAAAAAAAAAATCATTTGAATGGAAAAAAAAAATCCAATTCAGAAATACATACTTGTTTTGCCCTCTTCCATTGGCGCGTAGACCGGTTGTCACCCTGTACTAGGATCCGTCGGCGTCCACACATTGCACCTCGTGAGTCGCCGCTGTCCTATCCAACACCAGATAGGCGGCATAGAGGTCGGTAGGAATGTGACTCCTGCATCCTCTGGACTTCTTCTGTTCCTGTTGAAACATATCCAGAGTCTTGTTCATTGTGGCATGTACCAACGCTCTGCAGGGCATGAACCTAACACCTTTGAGGACGTTGTTGTAACTCTCTGACATATTAGTTGTCAGAGTGCCCCATCGACGTCTTCTATCTTCGTACAGGGTCCACTTTTCCAAAGGAATTTGGAAAAGATAATTGTATGCTTCCGGATTACAGTCATGGAGTTCCTGTCGACTCTGCTCAAATTTGCGGCGAGAACACAGTGAACCCAACCTCCAGCACAAACCCCGGATTTTCTTAGTCCGGTACCTTGAAAACACGTTGCTCCGAAGGTGTCGATGGCATATCCGATGAAATGCATGAGGTTCGTGCCAAGCCTCCAGTAAATCAACGGCACTCAATATGCCGTTGTCCCTGTCAGAAAGAAGACATATCGGTCTGTCGGGGACGACATGATGGCGCAGATGTGTTAGGAAAAAGGACCAGCTAGCCGTGCCTTCTTCGTCCACAATCGCATACGCGAGTGGCAATAGACGCTTATTCGCGGTCTGTGCTATGGCAACAAGTAGCTTCCCCTTGTACGAACCTGCTCAGTTGGACATATGTTTTTTTTATCAGACACTATTGTAAATTAGAAAATAAAAAATTAATTTGTAATTAAAAAGTAGCTTCCCCTTGTACGAACCTCGCAGGTGCGTGCCGTCGATGCTAATGATCGGGGGGCAAAGAAGGAAGGTTTGAATGGCGGGGTCGAACGCCCAGAAGACAAAGTATCAAAGTAATATCCGAAATTGTCCAACTATCACGAAACCCACTATTTTCGTAAATCATATCTACCAATTGTTCATATGATAATATTCCATTAATAATAAATGAACAATCCGGACGAGACATATAATTCGAAAAATTCCATAAAGTAGGGACCGTTAGATGCCATTTATAACCTGTTGCACAAAAATAAAATTTCTATTTTATAAATTATAACAACATAATGGCTAATCAAACACCCTAGAAAATTTCAATTATTATTTTACCAATCAAAATTTAAAACTCATTTCCAACAACAACATATAATTAATCATATTTTTACTCCAAAAAAAAAACAAAATTGTCAATTAAATTTATCAAAAACACCACCAAAACCCTAATCACTATAATCCAACAATAAATTCATAAACAATTCGGATAAATATTCAACATACATTAAACCAACATTCAAGATTTTCTAAACAATAGCAAATAACAAATTATAACCATTTAACTCAACTATTAAATCAACATTCAAGATTTTATAAACAATACTCAATCAACCAAATATATATCTTAAACATTCATAAACAACAAAAAATAATATTACGTTACATTAAAATAAAAACTAACCTCTTCTCCGATGATTGGTTGAAAATTTGTTTTTTTTTTTTTTTT